ATCTCACGGGGACTGCACTTTACACCCGGATCTCACGGGGACTGCACTTTACACCCGGATCTCACGGGGACTGCACTTTACACCCGGATCTCACGGGGACTGCATTTTACACCCGGATCTCACGGGGACTGCATTTTACACGCGGATCTCACATGGACTGCACTTAACACGCGGATCTCACGGGGACTGCACTTTACACCCGGATCTCACGGGGACTGCACTTTACACCCGGATCTCACGGGGACTGCACTTTACACCCGGATCTCACAGGGACTGCATTTTACACCCGGATCTCACGGGGACTGCATTTTACACGCGGATCTCACATGGACTGCACTTAACACGCGGATCTCACGGGGACTGCACTTTACACCCGGATCTCACAGGGACTGCATTTTACACCCGGATCTCACGGGGACTGCATTTTACACGCGGATCTCACATGGACTGCACTTAACACGCGGATCTCACGGGGACTGCACTTTACACCCGGATCTCACAGGGACTGCATTTTACACCCGGATCTCACGGGGACTGCATTTTACACGCGGATCTCACATGGACTGCACTTAACACGCGGATCTCACGGGGACTGCACTTTACACGCGGATCTCACGGAAATGTAGACCGCAATTAAGGTTTATGTTTAGTGTCTGCGTTACAGTATGGAATGGTTTAGTGTCTACCCCTCTTTACGGTTTAAAGTACAGTGTATACTACACGGTAATGTTACTAACTAATGTGTAATTAGTATGTGATAAAAATCGACGCAAATTTGTATCTTTGGGGACACAAGTGAACAAGCACACATGTTGAGTGAATGGGCACACACTTTAGAGGAGTTTGTTTGTTTCTGTTACTATTGTACCAAACAAATTTCACTTCAAAGTCCTCCCAAAAAAGTTGCCCCTTGTTCAAATAAACACCTACCCAGCAATTGCTTTTATCTTATCAATCACACATTGCACGTAATCCTTTTTTGCAGATAATTACATTTTTATTACTTTGTTTGAACGAGCAATAAAAGCGATCTCGGCTTCTTGCGTATGCTTGCGGCTACACATCCATGCGCCACCTGCATACGTGAAGTCATCAGACCCTAAGCGCGCCCCCTAGCGTAGGTTCTTTTACCGATATGATATCACTCAATCTTTAATAACCATGTTAGGTCTTAGAATGCTGGAGTTTTGCCAGGATAAGTCACGCGCCAGGCTAAAGCAATATTACCTAAACCGCACACGTGCTTGAACTGTTTCCCTGTATAACATGCGGCACTACAGATGCTGCCTTATACTTTAATGTTTATTTGCTTATTTTATGTTTTTAACTGACGTAAAATTATTTTTTAATTTTTTAATACATTTTTTTAAAGTTTTTAAAACATGAAAATCTGTGACAAAATACTCGTTGACACACATGCACACTTTGTTTGACGTCAAACATGAAATATATACCAGGTTAAACACTTATATTTATTTATATTGTTTGTTCTGGAGTGATAAAATGTTGCTTAAAATATGTTTCATTAAAATTGAAATTGCTTATTTTTACAACAATACTTAAAGCACGTTTAATACAAGCTGTTTTTATTGTGATGTGCATACACGTGTGATCAATTCAGGGAATGCTTTAGAATAGAAGCAATCTCTGTTCCGTTCATGTTGGCGACAGATTTACCAAATGGAGTAATGTCAAAATCGCACCAGTAACCCCGTCTGCAAATTTAAACAAATACATTTAAGGATCATAAAGATAAAATATCGTTAAATATGAGTACATTCGTTGTTGATATATCGTCTTTACAATATTTCATTTTATATATTCTAGAACCATACACGAGAACTGCATCGTAACCCTCTCTTTGATATGCATTGTAGTGAGTGAGTGAGTGAGTGGGTGGGTGGGTGGGTGAGTGAGTGAGTGAGTGAGTGAGTGAGTGGGTGGGTGGGTGGGTGGGTGGGTGAGTGAGTGAGTGAGTGAGTGAGTGGACCTGGCCACCCGATCTATTTTTTCGCCCCTTATAAGGACAGAGGCTGCTTGTGACCTGTTCTAACCGGGAATCCCGGGGGGTCACACATACACAAACAGAAGCAGTTTATTCTCTTAAAAAACACCAACGGTAGTACAAAAGAGTACAAAGAAAGGCATCATTATCAATTTACGAAATTAAAACAGGTAAAAATGACATGAGTGAGTGAGTGAGTGAACATTGTTTAAGTCAATCATAGACATATCTACCTGTCCGTGTGTTGCGGCTGTTATTAAAACGTCAAACACGAAGGAATTCGTCTCCAGTGAACCATTTGAATCGAAAAATATCGTCGGTGTTCGAGAGAAATATTCTTATCGACCTGTTTGCAATGACAATCTTGTATTTAAGAAAGATTTGACAGAAATTGTTGGGAAGAAGAAGTGAGGTGAGGTGAGGTTGGGTTTAACGTCGCGTCCAAGATTATTGCTCTTTTGTAGCGACGTGCATGCGCGCGTGTGTGTGTGTGGCTGCTTGTACTAGTCCGGATTGACGCCGATTTATAGTGCTAACACACTGAGATACCATGCCGCAGTTTAACATGAATACCCCACTCAGACACAGTATACTGACTCCGAGCCGACCAGTCCTTGTTTTGGCCCCTTAATGCCGAGCGCCAGACAGGGAAACAACAAGTACCATCTTTTAACGTCTTCTGGTATGACGCGGCCAAGGATCGAACCCCGGACCTTCCGCTCTCCGGGCGGGCACTCTACCACTACACCACGGAGGGGGTCCCGGGCAGAAGAAAGTATACGCCAGTGTTTGATGGTAGCTATAAATGAAACAAACAAGAAATGGTTATTCGATGGTGATGTATTTGAAATCAGTATCATTGTTCTGTTTTGGACCTTCCGTTTGCACTGTTTCGGCGACTGTGACGTGTCAACCCTGTCACATGTCGATAACGTTTGTAATTCTTTGGTCAAATCCTATTTTCAAGTGTATTTACCCGGCAGTGAGCTAAAGTTATTGTGCCAAAGTTGGCCCTAATTATTTGAGTTTTTAAAGCTTGAAATGCTATCAGAGTTAGTCGATTCGTCCTGTAAATACAGTCAATTGCATCAGCATTAATTCGTCGTGTAAGGGGACCGCCTCCCTAATTATTTGAGTTTTTAAAGCTTGAAATGCTATCAGAGTTAGTCGATTCGTCCTGTAAATACAGTCAATTGCATCAGGATTAATTCGTCGTGTAAGGGGACCGCCTCCGTGGTCAAATGGTAGAGCGTCCGCCAAGAGAGGAAGATCCGGGGCTCGATCCCCGGCCGCGTTGTACCAAAAGACGTTAAAAGATGCTTGTAGATCGATACAAGACATGTTAATTAATATTTAATTATGCGCAATATAAATAAACAACATTATATGAGAAAATATGCATAGGCATCCCAGAATATCGCTTACCGAGCGACCCAATTATTTTTAAAAGTAACCTACATGCATTGTATATATCTTTGTTTACCTACGAATTGTAGGTATAAACAAAATAATCATATCTTATCTTTATTCATACATATTTTTTAACTTTTTGTTCATAAATCCACACGTCGATTCTTAATTAATCGAAGTTTGTAATTAATCATTTGGATAGGTATTGGTTTTAATTATCTGACGTTATTACTATGTTATTTTCATGTTTATATTTGTAATCATTCACATATTTATCTGATATGTTCAAACATATTACTTAAACAAATTATTTAGTCAATCAAATAAATAGCCGTCAAACTCTCAGTGATTGATTGTAGCTTTAGCAGACAATATTAAACTCGTTTATGTTTGACAGTTTTACCGCCGTTCAATCCACTTGTTATTACAGTGTTCCTGTAGCAGTAATTGGCCGTCCTGCTTAGAATTCACAATTATTGATAAACTGTCACACTACACAAACGCGTGCGAAGGTCATCATCGCCGGATAAATGGTGATCATTAATACTTTTAGCGTCCAGCAGTCAGTCGTATCAGGAAATCTTCAGTTTGGCTGGTTATCTAGCGTGTAAATCCGACATTACTTTGACACGGTCACAGCGGGGGCGTGGCCAGCTTGCATCAGTGGGCGTGGCTAAAGGCGCACCTGTTGATCGCCTCGGCTGCAGGTAGACAAGCAGCGGATAATCGATGAGGGCGAGCGTCTACGTGTATAAAAGTATGATTAATACAATTAAATACTCATATTGTCAATTTGCCGGCAAAGCATTCACACCGTTGAAGTAAGTACTTAGTCATATACCGGACCTTGTTTTTGTAAGACTTGTTCACTGCGCAACTCGCTTATTTAAGAATTCTATTTTTTAAAACGCGATTGTCTTATTTTCATATTATTCCAAAGAACTGTTGGTTAATCGGTTTTGTAGTTTTGTACTGTGCATATTTTCAATCACATCTTTGGTTTAAAGTACGGAGCTTTTCAGAGGTTGATCTGTTGTTAATATGTGCATTTTGAACACTGTTTCAAGATATTCAACTGCCAATGTAATTCACACGCACGTGAAAAAATATAATGTACGTTTTAGTTTCATAATGTCCTTTTTAAATTACCTTTTTTCCATTCATTTCTCTTCGTATTTCTCTCTTTCTCTTTTATTCATAAATATGTTATTATTTATTGTAAAAAAAATATTTATTAAGTCATGTATTTTTAATGTACTCACTGTATATACAGCTGACCAACTTGTTATTACATATTTCGTTATGATAATATTTTTATGAAACGGGTAATGAAAATGTACTATATAACTCACGTTCACCGTGAATATATAGACCGATATTAATTATACATCAGCCGAGTAACTCTAGATTTCTCGATTTATCGATAAAACAATATTATATACTTTATTTATTTTGATGTTAAAGGAATGAAATTATGCAGATGGAATTATTTTATTTCAATGTGTACATGCGTAATGGAATCACGAGCAAGTGGTAATTATTAATTCTATGCGTATTAAGCAAGTGTTGTTTTTCTTCACAGACAATGTCTTTGAACCATTCACCAGCGCCTCCAAACCTCCGCGTCCCCCCACCAAACCCCTTCCTCCCCCTCCCCCCACTGTTCCCCCCACCCCCAGGTGATGCCCGTCACACATTGGCCTCACGTGACTACCTGCAGAGAGTATGGAGTGAGTAGTTTTATTTCTGTTTTTGTTACTAATTTGTTTAATAAACTCCGGGGAAAAGAAAATGTTGATGGTCGCTGAAAATAAAACAAACAAGAAATGGTTATTCGATGGTGATGTATTTCATACGGGTGTCATAGTTGTTTTTTGGACATTAAGTTGGTAGTATTTCGGCCACTGTTTTTATCCTAGCAACGTTTCGATAATGTTTTTAATTTTTGGTCAAATCCAATTGTCAAGTGTATGCTTTCTTTGCCGGCAGTTTATATTGCAAACTAAGTATGACCAAATTGATATACGTGTATTTTTAACTACAATATATAAGTTTTTAACATGGTGTAAAACGAATTCTGAAACAAAGAGACAATTATTTGACTGCGGGGAAAGCAGGGATAAAACCAAAAAAATAAACTAGGTAAAAATTTGCATATGTTGATGCGATTACCACACGGGTAAAAATCAACGGTATTTTTACCATTACGGTAGCGTTACCATAGTTAAAATACTATTGCTATACTATTGTTATAACGGTACAACTACTGCAACGGTATTGCGATAGTTCAGTCAATGCGTCTACCGTTCGACAGTGATTCATTCGCATTATTTAACACGACAAAGCTGATAGTGATTTAAATACACATGCTTTTGATGTAGGCAGAATCGAACACTGGATTCTGCTTTTAGTACAGATGTTTTGTGGATCTACAATTTTTGTCCCTTTTTGTTTACCCGTCCTTCGAGTGTTCATTCAGCAGTACAGCTGATTGCATGTGACGTTGTTGATTTAAGGACGTATACTTCTTATTATTGTTAATGATTTTATGGAGGAATGTATATTAATAAATAATTATAATTATATGATGATATAAAAATCTATCAAATATAGACGCATGTAATTCTTCAATCAATGTATAGTTTGAAGAAAATTATTATCATCATCATCATCAACATTATTAATATTATTATTATTATTATTATTATTATTATTATTATTATTATTATTATTATTATTATTATTGATACTATGAATATTGTGGCTCGGCATCGATTTAACTATTGATATTTAAATGTGTCATAGATGTTAATGCTATTGGACAACCATCCTGCGTCGACAATTCGTTCAATCGTTCACACCCCGGGTAAATAGCGTGCATGGACCCAATATGGCATTATCCTCTCTTGGGCAATACACACGTTTCCCAACGAATGTGACAAAGGAGAAAGGTTGTCTAAAATGTATGTCATAACTGGTTGGGATTTATTACCAGATATTTAGACCCATCGAGAGCCGGGAAAGAATCGGTTTTCAGCAACCCATGCGTGTCGTGAGGGGCGACTAACGGGATCGGGTGGTCAGGCTCGCTGACTTGGTTGATGCATGTCATCGATCCCAATTGCGTGGATCGATGCTCATGATCTCAATCACTGAATTGTCTGGTCCAGACTCGATTATTTACAGACCGCCGTCATATAGCTGGAATATTTCTGAGTGCGGCGTTAAATATCAAAACAACCAACCAACCAGATTTTTTACCGTGTACATTTCAAAAGGTAAGCACGTGCGTTACGTGAATCACTAGCGTGAACTTCCAGCATGGCTAATTTGTGGGTAACTGGTCAATTGAATTGCACAATCATGATTGTGATTTGTGGTGCAGTCCGTATTTTTTAGCTGATTAGTATAAAAAAAACTAGAAGTCCCTTCTTTGTTAGAGCAGACATGGTAGCCTTTAACGGTTCGGTCGTCACGTCGACGGCCCGTTTTTGTTATTATAAACAAGCCACAAAAAGTGAAGCCCTTTCTTTGTGTGCCAAGTTGTGTTATTTCTGGAATGTTGTTGTTAACAATACCGACCTTTATACAAGTTTAGAAACACCGTAGCTGTTATACATACATACGAATCCTGCATTCGCTCACTTCATTAAAGATTCGTGGAACTTTGTACAGTGAAGTCCCGTTAATCCGACATGGTTGGTTGCATATGATTATGTCGGATTAACAAGTATGTCGGATAAACGAAATTAGGTATTCTTAACGTTTGTTAACAAAAATCCGACATCTTCACGATAGATAAGAACGACACGTGTACCTTGTAATAAAATAATTAAAAACGAAATATTCCTAAATAATATCTTTTTATGTCATTTCTTAATAGTGTTCGAGACTCAGCATGTCTTTCAGAGATTTTACAGATGTTAAAGCGTTCGCTTTGATCGAATTCGTGAGGGTAACCTCAAACTCGATACAATCAGGTGTTTGTATTTCCTAATTGACTTAAAATCCACTTTGAGATAACAGCACACGGTACAATACGTATTTGACTCAGGCTCGTAGGTCGCCCTAAATTCTGTTCACTGCCTTTAAAGCAAAAAGAATTCGTCTTGAATTTTGGATCCAAGCACTTTTGTTAGGATCCTTATAGTATTAATTTTCTGTCACTCTTTCAAAAATATTTAAAATATTTTAGCTCCCTAAAATGACGGATATCAGTGTGCACCCGTCGCCACAACGGTAACAATCCTGCCTGTCGGGTATGACGTCACGTATGGAGACGACGCAATAGATATTAGGTGACATGGTCGCATTATTTACGAAGTCAAACGACCATGGCATGATGAAGATGCCGTGTGTCACCATGGTTACATGTATCTGCTTGCTTTCCATTCCGTTTGTTAATAAATTTGCATCTCTTGGTATGCAAATTTAACTTAATATAACTTTGATATTAAAACATGTAAACAGATTTCAGCGTTCCCAGATGACGATAGTTACATAGGAGATTTTAACATTTACGGCGCTCCCGAGTCAGATATGCAATGAAACGTACGCGTGTCCCCTTACACTTTAAACCTTTGCAACAGATGTGTTCAGTTTATTTTCGAAAACATCATTAAAATCACGAACAAATCCTTTGTAACCGACAGCACGAATTTAACGTGTTCCCCGGGACGTGTGCTTTGTAATGATAAGTCATTAGGTTTTTGGTGGTTAATTAAAAATGCAACTTGATAAAACCCAGATAACATTTTATTGGTTTTTTTATTAGTAAAAGTGAATGCAAGCTGAAAAGTGGAATCAAAAAACAAACCCAACATGGCGGTGTCCATTACCTGTCATAGCTGAAGTGATAATAACAGTATTATAATATTTATATATACGGGGCTGCCTTAAACTCGCATATTTCGCTCGTCATTGATATAGGGTTTACTCCATGCCTTATCATAATATCGCAATATATAATAATTTCAGCTAAATGATAGTGTGGTCCCAACCCTTTGAAACTGTACTTTATCAAACGAATTGCGAAGTGTCGAGTGATGGTAAGTTAAATTACCGTTATGCGGGTTGGTTTTAAAGACAATATAAAATCAATAAAGTTTTTTTCCTGGGTTAAATAGATGTAAATGTTTACGACAATGAAACTATCTGTTCTGTGGGTTTTTTCTCCTAATTGACGAAGCGTTCTGGTTGGCTGCGCACGCGCTCGTGTGTTTGCGTTTTGTAAGACTGCACGCAGTGTTATGGACAGGTGGATAAAAAATATCTCTTGATCCGTATTCAATGTGCCATTGTAGATGCTGAGAAAAAGAAACACCATGATAAACCATTTACATCGTATTTCGATTTGCATTTCATGAAGTTGCAAAAGTGAGTTTTGGTATTGTAGCCATGGGAAGGAAACATGATAGCTGACAGTTATTAATTGTAACTATTCAATTATTTTTAAATCAGAACCCTGGGCAGTCTTTACATAAAATAAGGACCAATTTACATTTTTTTAAAACGAGGCGAATGTGTATGTTTTTTTATTTTAAATAAGGACCAATTGAAATTTTGACAGTTGCCATTAATCAACAAATGAGTACAGAGTTTATTGTGTACAATTTAAAAACGAAGCGAATGTGTATGGGTTTTTTTATTTTAACGGGGTATATTTGATCTTGTATATCACATAATTGGCCACCGCAACGCATGTCCTCAATGCCCTAATCATCTTCATATTTGTGAAAAATCTGATGTTTGATTTGTAGTTTATTTGGGGATATATTTCTCGCAAATTTCATTGAACTATCCAAAAGATATTCGTGATCCAAGACGCTTTCCGTTTAGTTTATATAAAGCCTTAATATCCATTTTTCTTTCTGTTCCGACTATTCCGGTATGTCGACGGGTTACACGTATTATGTGGGAGTGTATTCGCGAAGACAAAAAAATGATTTTTAGATCAAATAAATGAATACACACTGGATCCGTCTTAAACTCATATAAATCCGTTAGACATACGTTAACTGTATATATCAATGTACAGAAAACTACGGTTATAACGAACTCAAAGGGACTACTATTTTTAGTTCGTTATAACCGTAGTTCGTTATAAGTACATATACAGCATGACTACAGCAAGTAGTCGGGACCAAAAAGTAAGTTCGTTATATCCGTCAGTTCGTTATAAGCGTGTTCGTTATAACCGTAGTTTACTGTATTTGCATGATAGGGTTTATACATTGTAGTTGTGTGTGTATATGTGGAATTTGTGTCTATTCGTATATATTATGTAAAATATAATTTTTTAAGGTTCTCTCTCTCTCGATCGAAATACTCGTTTGAGTAATAAAATACACATAATTGAAGCACGGGGCAATATATACAATAAACTCGATTCAAGACAACGTTAAGTTGCTGAAAAAGCCGAAACCATGTCACATGGTTAGAAAATTTAATATATTATAGGTTGGATCTTTGAGCAACCATGTGCTTTACAAATACACACGTAATAGGTCGGTAGAATATTATTGGGTCGGTTGAAGCGTACACAATGCATTGTCCATTTATTTGCAATTGACGTCATGAAACCAGAGTGTCATACAAAATCCTTTCCCACACATGTTAACAAACAAATCATGTTTCGAACATTTGCTTGTCCTATCTGCGCAAATAATAACCCATTGTGGCTTTAAGCGTCTCGTGAGAATGGAGCACCTCTTCCTACTGTTGAGCATGC